GAGCAAGTGAAAAAATTAATAAAGTACAAACTCAGGATGAGAAGGAACTACGTCTTTTATCTCTACTAACAGACCAGAGCAAATTAGGTACTCAATAAATGTTTGTAGAATGAATAAATGTTTTTAAATGAATAAATGATAAGCTCAGGAAGGCTTTGCGATGAGTCCTATTCATCTATTTCCTCAGGACTCAGCATAGGGTGTGGCACACAGCAGCTTCGTAGTAAATTTGGAAGGAGGGAAGGAAAAAAATGAAGGGAAGGTGGGAGGGAAGGAAACAAGACCAGGATCATAATTTCCCAATTCTCGGTCTAGGTAGGTAATTTCTTTCCTTTATGCATCTAACTGAGGCCATGGAATAAGCTGTTGAGTTTCAAACAGCCTCAATTACATTGAAAGGGCTTTCACAGCCCTTTGAATATAATTCACCTCCCCCCTTGAATATTGTTGTTCTAAACAACTGAATATTGTTCTAAAACACATTTCTTTTTCTTTTACATAAACTTGAACTTGAACATTGTTTTTCTAAAACACATTTCCTTTTCTTTCACATCCAGAAATCATAAGGCTTTCCAACCCTTCCAACAATGTCAGAAATGCAGCTCCGAGTTCAGAGGTCAACGCTTCTGTGTTCAGCTCCGGGGACACATTTCCTGTCCCTGTGCTGCATTCAGCCTCTGACACCTGCCCTGCGGCCAAAAAGGGACATCAGCTGGGCTCAGGGAAATTCAATTTGGGCTGACAGCCCACAGCATAAGAAGGATAGGGAGTCTGCAGTGACCTTTGCAAAGGCAAAGGCAGGGAGAGGGAGTCAAAGGGGTTTCTCCGGGCGTGGCTTAGGAGGGTCTAAAGTTATGGTCAGTTCATTTCTACGGATGGAGAAAACCCCTGAAAATAAGGGCAACTGATTTCCACTGCTGGCTCAGAATTCAACTGCACTGCCATTTGCTGCCCCTGCCATCCTGGTGGTATTTGAGGTGAAAAAAGGGAACATCTTGTTCTTTATTCCTCTGGACTTGAACTTTTCCAGGGATGGCAACTGCACTGTTGTGGGGTATGATTTTATTCCTTCATTTTTATTATGAACGAAGATACATAATATATAAATGAACAAAGTAAGGGGTCCCTGGACTCATGTCCCGATACGTTTAGAGAGCCTCTGCTCCCGTGTGTTTTCTCTCTTGTCTACTGAACTCCAAAGCTCAGCGCTTGTCTGCTCCACAGGACACCCAGCTGGAGGTCACAACTGTCACAGTGACAAACAAGGAAAAGAAAAGCTGACCCCTTCTCAGGCCTGTTAGCAGAGAAGGCAAAGAACTTATTTATGTGTTTTGATGTAGCCCTGATGCGGTCAGCTTACCCATGGATGTGGGGACCATCCGCCCTACCAGAGGAGTTGGTTGAGACGGGCATCAGTGAGATGGACATTATTTTATCAGACCTGCATGGCTGGATCAGTTTATGTGTCCCTCCTGTGGCCCCAGAGCATCCCACGCTGAGCCTGACCCAGTAGCTGGCTACCTGTATGACATTTATCTTTCCTTTTCCTCTAGACAGAAAGACCCATGAGGATAGGGCTGTGTGTGCTGCTCGTACCTTTGTATCCCAAGCAACCTGGCCCAGTTCTTGGCACATAAGTAATAAGCAATTGATCAATACATGTTATGAAAGAGCCAACAAACAAACAAATAAGTGAAAAGAGATAAAGGTGTTGGGCCTTACGTTATAGTAAGAGAGCGCGGGCTTTAGAATCAGGTGTAGTTTCGTTCATGTTCTACCACCTACCTGCTCCATGATGTGTTTTAATTGAAATATAATATAAACACATAAAATTGCCTATGTCATAAATGTACCATTCAAGGAATTTTGACACCCATGCAACCAGCACCCAGAGCATCTGCAGAACCTCAGAAGCTGCTTCATGCTCCCTTCTGGCCACTATCCCCTGACCCACCCAAAGGTAAACCACTATCCTGCCAGCTGCATGCCATCTGGCAAGTTACTGTGCTCTCTCTTATCTTCATATGGGGAAAATAATACTTACCTTGCTATGAGTATAAAATTTTATACATGTATATGCGGTACCTGGCAACAACAGTCATAGAGCAGTAATAGTGTTAGTAATAGGAGTAGTAGTAGTGACAGCACCAGCAGCAGCAGAAGTAACAGGAGAAGGAGAGGCATGAAAGCAACAGTAGAAGCAGTAGCTGTAATAGTAGAAGTAGCAGTAATGGTAACAATAGAAGTAGTAATAGTGGTAATAGAAGTAGTATTACTAATAGTAGAGGCAGTAGTTATAGTAATAGCTAACACTTACATAGCACTTATGACGTTCCAGGTACTGGTCCAAGTGCTTTACCTTAACTCATCTAATGTTCAAAGCAACCCTTACGAGAATGTATAAAATAGGATTTTACAGATAAAGAAACTGAGGCACAGAAGTTAGTAGATTTCCCAAGGTCATGTAGCTATAGAGTCCTGAATTCAAGATTCTAATACAGTACCAGCAGTCTGGCCACTGAGCCTACCCTCTTAATAGCAATCTTTCAGTAACTATTTGCATGGCAAAGAAAGATTTGTCCTCCAATATCTGTTCTCTTCTTTTTTGTTGTTGTTTTTTGTTCTCTCCTTTTTCAATCACAATAATCCTCAATTTTGGTAAGCACGTGGTCTTACACAAGAAAGATCACATTTCCCAGCCTTCCTTGCAGTTAAATGTAGGCAGAGGACTAAATTCTGGCCAACAGAACATAAGCAGAAGCAGCAAGTGTGACACCCAGAAGCAGATACCCTTAAAAGAAGGGGCCTGCCTTTCTTCTTCCCTTCTTTCTGCTGGTAGATGTGATGGCTGGTGCAGAAGCACTCACAATGGACCATGAGGTGACCCTGGGGGAAAGGAGGTCCACATGGCAGAAAAACAAGAGAGGAAAAGTCTGGGTCTCTCACAGTTGCTGCAGCAGCCCTGTACCACCTTGGGTTCAAAGCAAGAGAGAAATATACTTCTACCTTCTGTTTAAGCCAATGTTCTTTTAGATTCTACATCATTCATAGCAAAACCTAATCCTAAATAATGCACTGCTGTTGCAATTGTAATTAATATTGAAACTGAGGAGGACCCTGAAGGACCTTCCCAGGGACAGACACCCCCACCCCCGTGTTCCCCGCCTCTTGTTTCTAGAAAAGCTTTAGCCCCCTAGGCCTTCCCCAAGTTCCAAAGAACGAATTTAACCAGAGAAGTGAGAAAATGCAAAATGAAAAGAAAGCAGTGAAGCAAGACAAAATAATAACAATTTAGACATAAAACAACATCAAGGACCTTTAGTTCCTTCTTGGGGCTATAGGTAATATCTTGAGTCATATCCTTCAGCTGTTTTGCAGATTCTAAAACCCCCACCATGTAGAGGAAGTTAACTGCACGCTGATCATAGACCAACACATAGACACCAGACTGGTGGGAACCAAAAGGCTGGTGATTTGAGATTCCTGAAACATCTCCATTACCTCACCACAACCAATCAGAGAATTGTGCACAAGCTGATCACTCACCCTGTGACCCTCTCCCTCACACTGTCTTTAAAAACCCTTCCCTGGAAACCACTGGAGAATTCAGATCTCTTGAGCATGAGCTGCCCATTCTTCTTGCTTGGTACCCTGTAATAAACGCTGTACTTTCCTTCACTACAACCTGGTGCCAGTAGATTGACCTTGATGCCTGTCAGGCGAGCAGACCCAAGTTTGGTTTAGTAACAATATCACCTAAAAAGACAACTGCAAAACTAATGTCACTTTCGTGTTGGATTCTTGATTTATAAAACAAAACAAAATAAAACATGACTTGGGTAACCCTGTAATCATCAAACTATGAAGATAAGCAGGCAGAGTCTCATTTATCCTGGAAGATGGTAACAGTCCCCTATCAACTCATGTCTGGGTCACATCAAAGCCTCTCAGGTTGGCCTCCCTGCCTCTAGCCTCTCACCTCTCCTACCCATTCAGGACACTCTTCCTTAACTAATTATCCTAAAAATTACTTTCATTTTAAAAACTGGAATAATTATAATATTTTATGTCCCTATTTTATGCAAGACACTTTATTGTACACCTTTTTTTCTAATCTGCACGAAAACCTGAAACATAACTATTATTACTCCAATTCCATAGATAAGAAAACAGAACAGAGAAGGTTAATGACTTGCCTGAGGTCACACAGAAAGTTGCTGGTGGAGTAAGAATTCAACCACCCCTCCAGCACCCACAATCTTTCCACCACTAAGCTGACTTCTGGGAAAAACCAGTCATAGCAGGTGGACCCTGTGTCAAGTCACCCTGGCAACTTTAAGATCCTTGGACTCTTGAGAGTTTTCTCTGCCTAGTTTTCATGGCGCTTCCTGTCCAGTCCAGTTTTTTATCATCCACTAACACAAATCTCCACCCACTGAGGTCAGATGCCTTAGACTCTATCATGTGCGCCTATGCCAGGCCCCAGTATTCCCAGCTGCAAAATGGGACAAATCACACCTCTACCAAGAAGCAACAATGCAAGAGGAAAAAGGCAGCAGACCTGGAATCAGGAAAAACTGGTTTCAAATCCAGTTGGGCAAGTTCTCTATCTGTAAAATGAATGTGGTAAGCCCTTCCTGGTAGGATTGTTGGGCGGAATGAATGAAGTAATGTCTTTAAAGAGTCACTCAGCTAAAATAGGATCTATTCTTGTTGGCAGTGTTGTTTTTGTTATCATTCCTTACTTCATTCTCATACCACCACCCCACCACCTTTCCCTCTGCACACAGATGATAGGTAATGTGACAGGAAACACTTCAAAAAGTCTTCAGCTCTACAAATGCCAAAGATCTGTTCACCACTAATATCCACACCCATGGTGTCTCTGTCAGATTCTAGTGCTTAAGTCTGATCAACTTTTGCATTTCAACCTCCCCAAAAGAATCCCTCCACATTTCCCAGGCTGGGCTCTCTGGACAGGATGGGCTAAGACCACTCACCGATTCCATAGTGAATCTCTTGATGAAAAACTGGAGAGCCTGGAGGCTGAAGATCTCATGTCTCAGCCGTCACATCAGAAAATTACCTGGATGGGGAGGTAGGAAAAAAGGTGACAAGAGTCATCCAGCAGGACTGGGCAGAAGACATTGTCTCAGACCAACACGTGATTTCATGTGGAAGCCAGCACCCCTGTTAGGAATGTTCTTACACCGCAGTGGCTGTCCAGGAATGGGAAGGAAAACAGTGGGGAAACCACTATTTCAGCAATCCACTTTGGGGCTGACATCTCCATCAGTAAATCTGTGCAAGTGCTCAGGAATCCTTCTTGCCTTTCTATTTCTAGCTCTATGTTGGAGAGCAATTTACAAGTCATTAACATCTCTAAACCTGAGCTCCTAAACATGAAATTAAATTGTGCTGACAGGTAGGACAGACAGACAGCCATAGCTGTGTGCCCATGGGGAAGCAGAGGAGTTCCCCCAGCCAAGGGAATCAGCCCCAGGAAGAAGGTAGATATATATGAATCTACATATTTCAGGACAGCCCCTCTGAACCAGAGAGAGGATTTTAATTAATTCATGCATACCAAAGCTTAATTAATTGCTGAGTGCACAGAGCACAGGAAGTCTGGGATTAAAGGTTTTACATAAGGGAACAGCTTCAATATTTTTGGATGGAGGTGAAACAGAAGTGGGGGTGTGAAAACAAGAGAAGCCAAGGGACCTGCTGGGTCCTTCCCCAAGTTCAGAGTGGTACCTCCATCTGCGGCCAGAAACCTAGGGACACACTTGACACACCATCTCCCCATCCCTAAATCACGTGTCTCGAACCTAAATATCTCTCAACCTGTCTCTCTCTCTCCATCTCCACTGACACAGCCCTGGATCAAGCCTCCATCATTCTCACCTGGGCTACTACAACTATCACCTAATTGGTCTCCCCTCATCACCATTTCTCCCTCTGAAATCTGCTCCCCTACACTGAAGCCAGAACAATCTTTTTCTTTTTTTATGTTTTATTATGCAGAATTCTGTACAGACACAAACACAAAGATTCCCAGCCCCAATCACCATCAACTCATAATCAGTCCTACCCCATCCACTCCCTAATCCCTCCCCCTCCCCATGTTAGTTTTTAGAAGCAAATTCCAGACGTCTTATTTCAGTCATTAATAGCACAGCACAGGGGCTTCCCTGGTGGTGCAGTGGTTAAGAATCCACCTGCCAATGCAGGGGACGTAGGTTTGTGCCCTGGTCCGGGAAGATCCCACATGCCACGGAGCAACTAAGCCCGTGGGCCACAACTACTGAGCCTGCGCTCTAGAGTCCACGAGCCACAACTACTGAGCCTGTGCTCTAGAGTCCGCAAGCCACAACTACTGAAGCCCATGCGCCTAGAGCCCGTGCTCCGCAACAAGAGAAGGCACAGCAGTGAGAAGCCCGTGCACCGCAACAAAGAGTAGCCCCCACTCACCGCAACTCGAGAAAGCCCGCGCACAGCAACAAAGACCCAACGCAGCCAAAAATAAAATACATAAAATAAATTTATAAAAAAAAATAGTGCAGCATGTATCGCTATATAAGGTCTTTTACAAAAATATAACAGCAACACCATTACCACACCTAAAAAGATGATCATTCTTTGATATCACCAAATATCCAATGTTCAAATTTCTAATAGCCTCATAAACGTTAAAAATGCTTTTTAAGTTTTTTGTTTTAAAAAATCCAGACCCAAATACGACTGGTTAATATGCAGAATAAAACTTTTAAAACTCAAATCTGTGTCATCCCTCCACCTCTAGCTTAACATTCTTAAATGGTTTCTCAGTGCTTCCAGATAAAAATGATTGAACACAGTCTGACTCTTGCCCCCCTCCTCTCTGACCTCATCTTGTCCACCCCAGCTCACTGTTGCAACCACATGACCTTCTTTCAGATCCTGCAACTTTCCACAGTCCTTCTGCCCCAGGTCCTTTGCCCATGCTGTTCCCTCTGCCTGTAAGGCTTCCTCTCTCACTTTGGCTAGCTAACTCCTATACTTCTTTAAATCTTACTTCCTCAGGGAAACTCTTCCTACTCCTCTAGATTAGACTACAGAACTTATCTGTCTTTAACTATGCATTCATTCATGTGAAGACCGATAAACATATGTTGATTTGATTTGATAATAAGCCATGTGATACAAAGACTGTGTTTGGATTTTCTCATATCCCCAGCACCAACCACACAATGGTGTCCAGCACAATATTAATCAACATTTGTTGGATAAGTGATCAAACCACCTTCTTCAACCTTAGATGCCAACGGGGATTGACTGAATCTGCCCGAACTTTGAATCACACATTTCAGTTAGATGGGGAATTGACAGTCTTATCCTAAAATTGATATGGAAATGCAGTGAACTCAGATAGCCAAAATGATGTGGAGGACACACATTTCCCAATTTCAAAACCTACTACAAAGCTGGAATCATCAAGACAGGGTGGTACCAGCATAAGCAAAAACATATGCCCTCCTCCAGAATCACAGACTGTGATTTCCCCGTAACATTCACCTCCTGATTGCAACTTTACACACTCTACGTACATGAAAAACAAGACCCCGTCACTGGCATAAATAAGCGATGCCTCTCCCAGCCCACACCTCACCTTGCCTTTCCTTTGCTCTCCTTGCTTCACCCGAGCACACAGCTAAGACAGTGTATATAGACTGGATCACTGCTCCTATTCTTCACTCTCAACCTGAATTTGAATTATACATCCCTGCCCTTGGTCATGTGTCTTTGTAGTCCTTCCTACTATAGCGGGTGGTAGTTCTTTCCATGCAGCATTGGATTCTGGACTGGACCACTGACTTCTTTACAATGGAATTCGGATGGAAATGACCCTATGCCGGTCCCAAGTCTATCCCTTGCCCTCCTGTGATGTGTCATGAGAGGAGTTATGTCTCCCTAGCCCCTTTCAGCTGCTGCCTTTCAGCCTGGACCCCGCAATAAAGACACGTGGAGCAGATCTGAACCAAACCTGTAGTTCAGCCTGAGCCAGCCAAGCCCAACCTAGATCAGCCAAACCACAACTGACCCACGACCCATGAACATGAAAATAAACACCTGCCATCAAGCAGGCCGCCGCAATTCTCAGGTTTTTGTTACTTGGCAAAACCTGACGCATACACATGGGAACGCTAATTTACGGACACCAATGAGTATCAACACAGTTGGGAAAAATGAAAGCCTTGCACACAGACAGGGCAGATGTGACGACAATCAGCAAAGCCACCTCTTGCAGAAAACACACCTACTTGTTGCCAATCTGACCCTCACAAGAAGACACTGGGCCAGCTTTACAGATGAGAACATCGATGCTCAGAGATACGAACTAGTGTGTCCAGGACAGTGTGTGGCAGAACTGGGATTCCAACCCAGGTTGTCTGGCTCCTCTCCTTAAAATAACTCGAAGATGCTCGGAGACAGCTATCACATGAGTCCCTGGTACCCCAATCCACTTCCACCCTTGTCCCACTTCCTTCAATGGGTCTTCACGAGGGGCTGCAGGGACAGGGTATCCTGGTCGGTGAGCCTCTTCGGCTGTTGGGTCCCTTGTTTGTGAAATGAGATCACTATCTTAGCCTGACCTACGTCACTAGACTGGCGTGAACCCCCAGAGATGGTGTGTGAAACTGCTGTGTGAGGTGTGACACCAAAGTCAGTTCACACCCTGCTTCCTCGACTCTGAACTCACGTGAATTAGGACAGCATCCACGTACATGTCAGTGCTGTACCCACACTGCTTTGAAACCGTTTATGCTTTGAAACTGATTTTTGTTTTTCAAACAGAGATTCTTCCTTTCCAGTTATGAAAGTAATCCAGGTCCATCACGAAAAATAGTAAGGCATGAAAATAAAATATTTTAGTATCCCATCCCCTACAGATAAATACTGTTAGGATTTTAAAGCTATGTCCTTTCTGGAACCGGTTCTTATAAAAGCCAAATAAATAATGCATTTCAATTAACATGATTTTCTTAGAACCAGGGAACTACCAGTAACTTAAAAAAAAAATTTCACTTTGCATTCATTCATTCAATCATTCATTCAAGGAATATTTGTCTTGGACTTATCATATGCAGGGAAGACAGAGCCAACAACAAAAAACATTTATAATCTCGAGGAACTCACATTCATTCATTCATTTTTTTTTTTTGGCGGCACCTCACAGCTTATGGGATCTTAGTTCCCTGACCAGGAATTGAACCTGAGGCCACGGCAGTGAAAGCGCCGAGTCCTAACCACTGGACCGCCAGGGAATTCCCATTTGTTTTGTTTTGTTTTTTTCATTTAATCACAAATATTTATTGATCTAGAATTCTGCCTCCATTCAAGGCCTGGTGCTCACTTTTCTGTTTTTTTTTTTTCTTTCTTTCTTTGCTTTTTTTATTGACATTCATTATTTTTTTCACTGCACAAATAAAAGGAGCACCAACTGCATGCTGGGCACTTGCTGATAATAATAATAGCAGCTTCCTTGCTAGACCTTGTACTCTAACAGTTTGGCTTATAATTAAAAGTTGTCTCCTTAGAACAAATGCATCTGGGTTAGAACTCAGATTATGGCTCTTTGGTGAGTTATTTATCCTTTCATACTTCAGTTTCGTCGCCTTTAAAATTGGGATAAAGTACCTACCTCATACAGTCACTAAGAATTAGTTAGATAATGTAGTTCAAGCACTGAGCAAAACAGTAACTAGTAATGGTGGTAGTAAAACTATCGTCTTGTTTAATCCACACAACCATCCTACAAGAATCTGAAACTCAGAGGTTAGGGAACTTGTCATGAGGTCATGCAGGTTACCACTTAGGCACCTGGGGCACAACCTCAGTGGGGACCCTCTGAGAGATGGGAACACACCTTCGAATTGCCACCCTGGGGTAAGGAAGCTGGGGCATTTATGCACCCACTCCCATGCCTCACTGACCACGCACAGCCAGGGTATGGCCTCAGACAGAGATGCAGGAAGTCCTCCCTGGGAACAGGCACCACCTACAGTGCCTTCCAGGGTGGGCTCAAAGATACGGGCAGGGAAC